AGTCTCTAAATTAGTCATTAATAGAAACAAATAAATTGGTCACTAAATTTTTAAGAAAATCGGTCTCTATTTCGGTCGTTAAAAGACAAAACATAATTATCTTTATTAATAATATATTCTGTCTCTAAATTAGTCACTATAGTAACAAAAAATTTTCGGTCACTAAATATAGTCACTAAATGATGATTTTGTTGTAGTGTTTGTTAACTATTTTTTGCTTTTAGTGATTTCTTGATTATTTCTTTGCAAACAAGATATCTATCACATATTCGACCAAAGTTATGAAATTTAATCATCAAGAAGAAGGATTAAGAGTTTCCCTTGACTCAAAATTTATTAGCATGAAAGTTCCTTAGGTTATAAACTAATATTTCTCTTCCTTGATTTTTGTGTTGATCCTTACAAGTAAAGCCTTTTTCCTCTCTTCCACGTGCTCTTTCTCCTTCCTTTGAAAGAGTTTCCTTGACTCAAAATTTATTAGCATAAAAGTTCCTTAGCTTATAAACTAATATTTTCCTTCCTTGATTTTTGTGTTGATCCTTGCAAGTTTGATGTAAAGTCTTTTTTCTCTCTTCCACATGCTCTTTTTCCTTCCTTTGAAAGTGTTGTCCACTTTCTTTGATCTTCAAGTTTACGTGCTAATAGTCTCTGAACAAGAAAATTGACCAATTGCAAGGTTTTTTTTTATGTGAGGTAGGCTTGTGTTTTGGTGAAGTTTGTTGCCTTATTTGGAGTCTTTAGAATAGGTTGGTATATGGTTTAGCCTTGTGAGGTTTAGGTATTGTATGTTGTCATGGCTTTGAAATGTTTAAATGGTGCAAAATGACTAAGGGTAATGAAAGCTCTCTCTTTACATGAAATATTCTCTAAATTGATATGAACTTTGACCTTTTGTGTGTATGTCCTTTCTTAATTTTCTTAATTTCTAAGTATGTCATTTATTGCCTTCTTAATTTTCTTTGTCTCATTTCACTTAAGTATCTAATGACCGTGCTCCTCCACATATGCCAAGTATTTTTTATTCACAATGTGGTCTACTTTTAGCTTGCTTCCCACGCTGAAAGTTGCAAAAAATTTTGAGGTAATAAATGCTTTCATAATGACAACTTTGATTCCTTATCCATTTGTACCTTAACTCTTATGATTACTTTCTAATTCTTTTAGTTCTTTTTTATGTACTTCTTAGTATATTTTTAAGGTGGTTGGTCATAATTCATAACTCTTCATTATACAAGAACTAAGTCTAAAGTCTTGGTCAACGTTCCTAATCATTATTCATTGACTTGCTTGACTTATTTTTGTTTCTTGTTGACTAATTCATTCCCGCTGAGCTTAGGCATTATCTAATGGTACTTTGACTCATCTCACATATGGAAATAACCGTGCAAGTGGCCTTCCAAGCAGTTTTGTCTTGTTGTCAAAGTTTCTACACAATTGTCCTAAAATCATGTGAAATCAAAGCTATTTGGGAAGAATTTGGTGTAACTTTTTTATAGGTTTTTTGGTCCTTCTATTTACATGTCCAGTATGCTATATCAATAGGCTAGTTACCATAAAAAATTTATAATTTAATTCATTCATTTGCTTGTCCACAAAGGCCACAATTCCTAAACTTGTTTTGAGCTATTTTCTTTGTTTTAAGCTAGTTTTGTAATTTTGTATCTCAATTTCTATTTTTGCTTCTTCTAAATCTAGTTAAATTATTATATATTTCATTTTGGATAATTAAAAAATTAACAACATTTTTTGAAAAATTACTCTTCCCTATTAGATCTCCTTACACTAAAACCTCACAATTCTCTCTATTTTGGTTTGATTTTGGATCAATGTCACTAACTTTGTTTTAATTTCTTTTTCTCTTTTTATTTTCTATTTTTAAATAATAGAATCTCTATTTAGACAAGAATGACAAAAATTGAAGTGCTACAACTAATATCTCACAACTCACATATTTTTACAATAGCCTCTTTAGGCTTATGAAATGCTAAATATTGCTTTTTCAATAATGTCTCTTTAAGAAAAAGAAAAAACAAATCACATTTAAAGTACTTACCACATTACCTCTCTAGGAAAATAATAACTCATTTTCACAAAAAAAAAAAATTATACAAAAAGAATACAAATATAAGAAATATTGATTATATAGTATTTCTAAAGCAATTCTCGGTGAATTCATTTCTTTCTACATGAGAGTGTCTTTAATTTATAGACTTCACAAAATGTTCATGTTAGACATCCCATTTGTCCATTAGACAAGCCAAATTGCTTCTTTGGAGTCCTCTGATGTGTCTAAGTTCTTTTTGTGTACTTGTGAGTTTCTTGCATTTTTTTTACTTTTTCTTCTTCTCGGTGTAATTTACAAAGAGAAGTACAAAAAGTTCTTTTTTGTTTTTTAACATAATTATCTTTGTTCTTTTTAATGCTTCTTAAACTTTACTAGGTAAACTTTTTTTGTATTCTTGATTCTAATGTCTTTGACGTATACACTACAATTAATAAGTAATTTGTGTTGATAATATGATGTATTTGACTTTTTTTAGATATTTATAAACGTGTTTCTTGTGTTGATAGTATGATGTGTTTGGCTTTCTTTAGATATTTATAAACATGTTTCTTTTAAAAAGTGTGTAGTACATTGTCTAACAAATGACAATGAAACAATCAAGCAGACGAATAAGATAATTTAGACAATTAATTTAAAATAGAAGTTTTTTAATTAACAAAATTTAAATTTTTCTGCTTTTAAAAGAGCTCACTTAAACATAATTTAAAAGCCTAACAAACAAAACTAGCCCAAAATAATAAGGTTAGAGACATAAACACCTTGAACGATCTATTGATGCAAGAGATTAAAGAGAAAGGATTGGAATTTTAAACTTCCCAGCCAAAGTTTATCATATAACCTATATTAGCTAAATAATTATAATTTCCTTTTTCTCATTAATGTTAAATTCTAATACCCTCAACAAAATCATTCACATTAATTTTAATAGTTTGGTTAAAAAAGAAAGATTGAACAATAAAGATTTGTTATTACTTCCATACCTTCAAAAAGATTTGTTTGCCTATTACCTACAATAGAATTAAGGATTAAGTTAACAAAATTGCTCATATTAAAATCAAAGACATTTAATATTCGAATGACTCTTAAAAATAATTATATCTTATTAAATCATAGTAACTTTATATTTTAAATTAAACTAATTATAAAAATAAAAAAAATGATAACAACAATTATTGTTTTCAAATTTAATTCAAATGAATTAATTGATAAAAAATTTAAATATGTGAGCCAATTTAATTTTTAGTTTTGTTACTTTTAACTCATAAAATTGAGTTTAAACAACCAATAATAATAGATTTTTATTAAACACACTTTTATATATTATTTTTACCAATAAACGAAGTTAAAAGTCCATAACAAAACAATTACTAAATATATTTTGTAAAAACAATCTTATCTTAAAAAAGAAAAAGAATAAGCTTAGAGGGAGAAAGGTAAAACATTTATAGTCATTTTTTAAAATATGCTAAATTTGCAAGGATATTAATGCATCTTTTAGCTTACTGAAAAATATGATAAACCTATATTATTTTATTAAATATTTAAATTTCTTTAATGTTTCTAACTTAAAAAAAAAAGAGAGAGACTATAACCATTTATGCATTTTAAAGGAAATTAATTTCACAAATAAAACATTGTTGCAATGTAAATTGACCACCATCTTAGTTAAAAGACACTAAAATTCAGTTTGGATAGCAAATGCTAAGTTAATGCGGAAATCTCATGATAAAACTTCCTTGAGAATCTCTGAGAAGACCACACCACAGTCCACAAACAACTTTGTCGGAGTTTAAGATCAGCTTGAAATTGCTGGAAAGATGAGGTGACTAGCCAATAAATTATTTAATTTTTATTCCATGAATAATTTAGATTAAAAATATATAAAAATAGAATAGGAGATCTATCTAATTTTATTATTTTGATATGTAACTTATCATGTTTTTATTTAATTTTTATAGCTTATAATTTTCTTTCCTACCTTGTTTACCAAATAGTTTTTAAAATTTTCTTACCATTCATTCTTATAAAACCTCTTGATTACTAAATAAAAATATAATATATTACCTTTTTATATATAATACTTACTTTATTATAAAATTCTAAATTATTTTTTTATTTTATAAATCTTCTTAATTATTAAATAAAAAATTATTATTTTTTATATTTTAAAATAATACATTTATATTCTTTATTTAATACTTACCGATAAAATAACTAAAGGATTATTAACAAGATTCGGAGGAGAATATAACGCAACTTTTAAATTAGTGAAAAAGTTATTAGGAGAATAATTATATTTTTTTATTTTTTATATTTATAATTTTTTAATTATTAAATAAAAATATTAAATAAATTTTAATTTTAGATGATAAATTTTTGTACATTTTTATTTAATATATACTTCAAAAAATTATTTTTTAATGTGTATTTAAAATATTCAATAAAAACTTAAATAGTATTTTTATTAAAAAATAAATATTATTAATATATTGAATTATGTAGTATTTTATAATTTTTAACATAAATTTACTGTATCTAATATATATATATATATATATATATATATATATCTTTGATCACGTGTTAAAAACTATAAATAATAAAAAGGTATTAAAAATATATTAAAATATAAAACAATAATTAAGGTTTAGTTTTTACATTTTTTACTCACAAAAGAAATTAAAAATATTTTTAATATATTAAAATTAAGAATTAAGATAATTTTAATGAAGTTTAATTTAATTTAACTTTTAGTTTACGAATTTATTTAAATTTAAAAAATTCTATGAAGTTATTTAATTTGAATAACAGACTAATGAACGAAAGGGGGTTAATAGCGAATATATCGGAGAAGATATTTTTTTTTAAAAAAATTGAAATTAAAAGGAAGCGAGGAAGACAAAATACCCGATTTTTTTAATTTTTGGCAAAGAAAAATAAAGTATTAAAAAGGAAATTCTAGTTCCAGTTTTGATTTTCGATTTAGGAGTGATACGATAGCAACGTTGGAAGGAGAAGTAAGTAAGAGCAGAATTGTTGGAACAATCAGGTGTGTCGTCGGAGTTGTCTTTGTCGCGACCAAAACGATGTCGTCGCCGGACATTGTGTCGATATTAGAAAACTCGAAGGAGCTCGATCGGTTAAGGAAAGATCAGGAGGAGATTCTGTCAGAGATCAACAAGCTCCACAAGAAGCTTCATGCTAGTGAGTCTCTTTCTCTCTCTTCATGCTTTCTTATTTTTCTATTTTAATGCTGCATCTTAATCCTTTTTGTGATCCTTCTAAAATATTTATCTGGTTATTTTTTAATCTTTTTCAGTTTTGGATAAATTGAACTTATAAAAAAAAAACTGCTTTGTGTGTTTGTGTAATGAAGTGGCCCATTTTGTAAGTGATGATTGTATGGTAATTTTTTGTTTAACTTACTGTCGGTTTTTAAATTTCCCAAACATGGACCGTGAAGTATGTGTTTTTCATATTCATACATGAATTCTATTTAGTTTTCAAGCATTAGGATTTGAAACTTTAAATATTAAGATTTGAGTTATTTGGTCATTCATGTACTAGAATGGCTCTAATTTGACAAAGCCAAAGACTTTTTTGTGCTTGTTAGACTGGAATGACTCTACTTGTCTATTTATGTTTTAGTATTTTCTTATTGATAGTTTCTTGCCATTTCACTGCAGCTCCGGAAGTGGTTGAGAAGCCTGGGGATAACTCTTTAGCAAGGCTTAAAGTTCTGTACACTCAAGCAAAAGATCTTTCAGATAGTGAAGCAAAGTATGTTTATTCTGTCTCTAGCTCTGAAGCATTTTATCTGAATTGCATTTTATTTTCTTTTATGCTGAAAATCAAGACATGGTTTTCTTATGTACTGTGTCCAGGGTAGGCATTCTGTAGCGTATAATTCTTGAGATTGTTTTTGGTTGCAGTGTTTCCAACGTATTGATAAGCCAACTTGATGCCCTACTGCCTTCGGGACCTCAGGGGCAAGCACGAAGAAGAATAGGTTTGTCTCAAATTTGTGGTGAATAAATTTGTCTTCCACTTGAAATATTATCATCTCCATACTTAAGCTTATTCATTTAGAATTCGTCAATGATATAAATGCTATAAAATGATTTGAATCTTTTAGTGTGTAGGTCTCTTAATATCTCTTTCTAATTTTTTTACATATATTACCTTGAGGGACTAAGTGTGATTGACCAACATTATAGAACCAAAGCAAGTATCTAAAGCATTAGACTTTTGCTTTTCCAGGTGAAGGAATGTAGGATGCAAATAAAATGAGGAAGAAAATTTGGGGCGGGGGGGTTGGGGGCAGGGGAGAGAGATAATATGTCTGACCATCTTTGTGACAACTACATGCCAAATTTTAATTGATTTGCTAGAGGATGTTATGATTTTATGATTGTTTAAGATTTATTCCTTTTTTTTTTTTTTTTTTCAGGAAAAGGTAAACTGTACTTCCTTGGATACTCATCAATATAGTTCACATCTCTGCTGCCATGTTGGTCAATCATGTATAGTCCAGCTACATGAAGAAGAAAAAGGGGAGGGAGGGCATGCTAATGAGTAATTTTAAGTAAAACTTAAAATTGTTTATTAATTGATTCATTTATATTTACATTCGTTTCTTCTCTACCTGTATGGTGGAAGGAGAATGGAAATCAGTGCTGGGTATACCTACAGAAATCATTATTTGAAGGAGCTGGTTAGCCAAACTTACATAACTCATTAGCAAGAGTGCTTTTGCATCCTGTTGTTAACCCCACTTATTCATGGTGATGCTTTGCTTCCCCAACAATGTGGTGATGTTGTTTAACAACATTCAGTTGATGACGTGAAGCTATGTGAACGTGAGAATCAAAACACGTACTATGTGTTGAAGGATTTATGAAATATTTGGTTGAAGCTCAAATATTTATTGAGATATATGTTATTATCATGATTATGTTTATATAGAGATCCCTGTTTTTATATATCTAGTCTGGCTGACAGTACTTGTGTTACAGAAGGTAATGAGCAGAAAAGGAAACGAGTGAAGACTGAGTCAGACATTTCAAGGCTAACTACTAATATGCGAAATCAACTTGAGGCTTGTGCCAATCTTAAGGGTGAACAGGTATGCATTTGCATTTTTCCATGAAGTTTGAGCGATATAAATCAGTAAATTTTGAATGCTCGTTGCTTTCTGTTGATAAGGTACATATGTGCAGTACACTGCTTCTGTGAAGCTTGTCTGGGTGAAATTGCTTTTGTTACTTCATCCAAAGCTTTCAGCTGTTATAAATTCAGTTATAGTTAGTTAATTGAGCTGTTACACAAGTATAATTATGTTATTTGTTCGTTAGTTAATAAAAGTTAGATCTAACAGATTCTGTATATAAACATCAGAACCTCTCACATGGTACTGCATATATCATAACAGCATTTTCACAGAGATAGCTGTCTCTTTTCTGTGTTTTCTCTCCCTTTACTTTATTTTCTTTCATTTTCTTGAGAAAATATTTTCTTATATTATGAGCCTCATCTTTAAATCCCTTTAAAAGCTCCTTCAGAAGTTCTCGTTGTCCTACTTTGATGCCAGTTATCTTCACGCATTCTATTTCAGTACATCTAGATGAGAAGAATTTTCTCATCTGGAAAAGGTAAGTTGAAGCAGTGATCGACAGCCAATGTCTGCACTCTGCAGAGATTTTGGTTGATTTGGAAATTCCTGTGAATATTTGTTGTGCATCAAAGTGCAAGCTGATTTGCTGATTTCCATTTGTCACCCTATTTCCATGCAAGAACATTTAGATGTTATTCTTAAAAGACTTTAGGAGGACTATAATGCCTTTGTCACTGCCATCAACAGTTGTTTAGATAGACAGTGGGAGAAATTGAATTGAATCTAATCTCTCCTTGCATATGAACCATGCCTAGAAAGCATAGACAATCCAACCTTTGTGTTTTCTCTGGTAATACTATCAGCAGTGTCTCTCACAATCCTGTTCTACATTCTTTAACTAAGCATATGGAGCTGAACTTCTTTGTGTGAGAAAGTCATCAAGAAGAATCTTATTATCACTCATGTCCCAGCTGGACCCAGATTGCTTATTATTACTTGTATGTTGTATCCCAGCATATTTAATCACTTTATTTGATCAATCTACTCTTGTTTGAAGCCAGAGGAGGCTGGGGATGTTAGAGTATACTGTATGTGTGCACATTGCACTGCTTCTGTTAAGCTTGTGTGGGTTAAACTGCTTTTGTTGCATAGTTAAAGCTTACAGCTGTAAGAGATTCTCTTATATTTAGTTATGGACAGTTAGTTACAATTCTGTTGATAGATTTTTAGTTACCAAAGTTATCTAACAGGTTCTGTATATAATCATCAGAACCTTGCATCAAGGCATCAAGCATAATAGCTTTTTCACACAGATAGCTTTCTCATTTCTCTCAGTATATTCTTTCCCTTTTCATTTTTTTGTTTCACCTTTTTGAGGAAACTATTTTCAATGAAGTATTTAGAGTTATATTCCATTAAGTTAACTTGTTCTCACTTCTCACTTGTCAGGTAGCAGCTAGGGTTACACCACGTAATGCTGATAAGGACGAATGGTTTGTTGTAAAAGTGATTCATTTTGATAAGGAATCAAAAGAGTAAGTATTTATTCTGTAATTAATTAGTCAAGTATTGAGTTCAAGTAATCAATAAAATATGTTCACTTTACTTTTCATAATATGTTTGTTTAGTGCTTACATTGACACCATTACTGTTTGGTGGGGAATGACATGCTTTATTATATCTACAAGGGGACTTTGTGTACATAACGTAGGTATGTGTGATTTCTTATACAACCAAGGGTTGTAAGAACAGGACATTAAAGCAAAGGGCAATAATTTCCCAATCAAGAGTGATTTTGAGTGTAATAAGTGCTAACAGTAGGCGATGTTTATGTAATCGTCCCTATTAATTTTCAAGAAAAAGCTTAAGCTACATTGATGTCATGAGGTGACTCAAGTTCTAACAAGTGTATATTTTAGCCTATTCTATCTTTCTTAATCACAAGCTTGGCCTGAAATCCGGCTTTATGACTTGGAAATACACTTTTTTGGCAATGATGGAATATAAGGTTATTTTTTCACAAAGAAAAAAAAGTGTTAAATCTAGTATTGATTATATACAAGACTACTACAGTATTACCTTTCAGATCTGGTCTGGTGACTAGATTTGACCTATGCTTGCTTTTCCTTAGGTCAATCATAAGTGTTAGGACTTAGGATTCAGTCTTCTTGACTATTTCTGTACCTAACTAAATGAGTTTGGGATAGAAACTAGTATCTTTATTAAGAAATACAAGAAGAAACTCCCAGCATTACAGAATAACACACAATAGCTCTTCGAGGGACTGCACCTCCTAAGCCAAAGGCCCTAACTCTCTCACAATTGATAAACTGACCTCTCTCTCTTCCTCCCTCTTATTTATAGAGGCCATATGCTTTATTTCTTCAACAATCTCAACCATCCCAAATTACTAACTAATTAAGGTTAACTAACTAAGATATTGTGACTAACCAATTAAGCTAGCTAACTAATATATTATATTAACTATTAATATGTCCCTAACTAACATCATAGCTAACTACTAATGGGGGTTACTTTACAGTACTTTGCCCTAAAGTTTCCCCTTGTCCTCAAGGTGAAGGATTAATTAAGTGCCTTGAGTTGTTGCTGAAATAAAATCCAACTGATATTCCAATTGATTGAAGCATGATAACCATTCCAATTCCATCTTGCAGCCAAAAATAGGTTCCATTGCTCCTGGGTCAAACACCAACATGTGAATGTATCCAATCTCCTCCAATACTTTGTTCTCTTTTGTATCTTTAGTCCTGAAACAGAGTATCATTACCTCTGCAAGTGCATTAAGAACCCAAGGTTCTATTGAGAATTGTACTATTGCAAATGGCAGAAGCTGTTGACTATCAAAGTTCTTCACTTTGCTGGGTCCAGTCTTTTATGTCAAGAATTTGATTCCATTTCTTAAATTCCCTTTTTGTCATCAACTCAACTGAATATGCATCATCTATCTCTGCAATCTTTTCTAAGATATTATTGGTTCCCTGCACCTCAGCTGCTGGGTTCTTCTCTGCCTCTGTCTTTGTATGCTCTTTCCCAATCCTTGGGTCACCTTTCATATTGCGTTCCACCATTTTTTCCATCATTTTATTTTAGTTCTGCGATGGATGGCCTCATCAAATTCATCTGTTCCTTTGTTTCCTGCTGCATCTCTCATCTGTTTGAAAACATCTTCTTGCTTTTTCCAACTCTGTTTCAGGTGATTTCTGTCAAGAACTTGATATTCCTTCAAGAATCTCACACAACTCCAGGTTGAAGTTGACTACTTCAAGGTTGAAACCAAGAACTGAGATGTTTTTTGATCCACAGCTCTGAATCAGAGCTCTGATGCCAGTGATAGAAACTGGTATCTTTATCAAGAAATACAAGAAGAAACTCCCACATTACAGAATAAAACACACAAACACAACAGTTCTTCGAGGGACTGCACCTCCTAAGCGAAAGGCCCTAACTCTCTCACAATTGATAAACTGAACTCTCTCTGTTCCTCCCTCTTATTTATAGAGGCCATATGCCTTATTTCTTCTACAATCTCAACCATCCCAAATTACTAACTAATTAAGCTAACTAACTAACTAATATATTATAATTAACTATTAATATGTCCCTAACTAACATCATAGCTAACTACTAATGGGGTTACCTAACAGTTTGTCATTTAAACAACTTTAAGCTGTATTAATGGCTCAGATTTTTTGTTATATAAGTTACTGTTGCTCATGTATGATTTGTAATTATTGACAGAAAGAGTCGTATCCATTTAGACATTAATATTTTGTACTTGTCCTTATTGTTTTTTTATTTGTTTTTCTGTGACTTGATTTTACAGATTTGAAGTACTAGATGAGGAACCGGGTGATGATGAAGAGGGCAGTGGCCAAAGGTAACCTGACCTATTTGAGAACATTATGTTTAATTATCTGGAATGCTCATGTGGTGTACTTTCTTTTGTTACTGCATTTGAGTAGTATGTTTATGTTTTATTGGATTTTTCTGCTGCATTCAGACAATACAAGCTTCCCATGGCAAATATCATTCCTTTCCCCAAGAGTAATGATCCTTCAAGCGCTCCTGATTTTGCCCCAGGAAAACATGTTTTGGCAGTATATCCAGGAACTACTGCACTTTATAAAGCTACAGTTGTTCAAAGCCATCGCAGAGTAATGATTCTCTCATTTTCCTTAATAAAATAGGATTACTTCATGGTTTTTCCTGAACTACCTTAATTTGTAGTCTATAAATCCTGTCTAGTTATAACTTTTGTGACTTTGACGTTATACTAACCAGTACTTTGTTCATGTTCTGGGCTATTCTCCAACATTTTGCAATTGTGCAGAGGAAGACAGAAGAGTAAGTATAATCTGTTAATGCTTCATGGAATGAATTTTAGGTCTAAATATTATTTATCACAGCCACAGGAAATCAAATGGCATCATGATTTATTTTCACATTAAGCTTTTCTGACATATCAACTAGCTAACCTGCATTTATCCAGCTGTGGGGGTTGGCTTATGTGAGACAACATTAATAGTTGAGTGTTAAACGGGTACAGATAAGAATGAGAAAAGGATGAAATTTTATTGCAAGAAAACTGATACTCTAGGATGGACTCAGTGTGAGTACAACCTTAGATACAAGTTGGTGACTTATAGTAGTCTCTCCTAACTATAACAAGCCCCCTAAGCTCCTAACAATCAGTTGTAGTATACAATTGGGCATAAGTTGTTCCTGGCCTAGCCCTTGGTCTTTCTTGTTTTACCTAATATAGATCTGTTTAACTAATGTACTCCTATCAATGAAATGCTGTGTTTGGTAACACGAGCTTATAGCATTTTTTCAAAATAAGCTAGTATAGTTGTTTGGTAAGCACAAAATATAAGAAACTTGGTAGTTTTAAAAGCTAACTTTTGAAAAATTTGTTTAAGTAGCATTCAACTAGTCTTATAGCTTATAACTACAAAAAATTTTATCTGATTTTTGTTCTTATCTTTTTAAACAAATTACACATATGTACAAATCTTAAATCTTTTTCTGCATTTAATTTTAATATTATATTAATATAATATTATATATCTTTTTTAATCAATATTAACATTTCAGCTAGTTTTACCAGACAGAACCAAAATCTTTCTAAATGTCTAAGAGGGGAAAAGGGTAGCCCTTCTCTCAACTTGTGTTGTCCACACTCCAAAGCGGAAAGATAGTTGACTTGGGATATAAATAGGAAGAGGATCATATCAAGTTTCTGAATTCATTGAAAGTAATAAACGTTTTTGCACCACTTTTTGTTGTCCCACTTTTACATGAGATTCTGTAAACTTTTAGCATTATTGAGCTGGTCTGCCAGAATTCAAATTGGTCGGCCTTAATAAACGGATTAAAGCATGTATAAAGATTAATTTAAAGTAAAACAACAAAAGAAATAACTGTTCTTTTGGGTGTGGCCCCTTTGTATATTTAGTTAAACTGTAATGTTTGTCACTATGTCATGGTTGTTAACACTCCGTAGTGATTGGAACAGTTATCTGTTGGAATTTGACGATGATGAGGAAGATGGATCTTTACCTCAAAGGACAGTGCCCTTCCACAAAGTGGTTCCTCTTCCAGAAGGACATCGCCAATGAGATTAAGCAATTTATAGTAATAGTTGTGTATAAAGTAGAAGAACTAGACTATTGCATTATGTCCCGGCTGTGTAATATGCTCCATGTGCTTTTACGGTTTGTAAGATTGACGTTGCGTTCTAATTTCGAGTACGTAAGTATGACATTGTAGTTTAATTTCACGTTACGTAGGAATGATAAATATCCAGGGTTTAGTTCCTGACTTTCTCTTGTAAAAAATTAGCATTAACATTTCAAAAGCTAATAAAAAATTCTTATTAATTTGATTCTTGTAGGTAAGATATAAATATTTAATTTTATATATATATATATATATATATATATATATCTATTTTGAAATTGCAAAAATGATCTTTAATTTTGACTCCCTTTTTTTTGTCTACTTGTATTTTTCTTTCTCTTCAAATATAATATATTGTTTAATTATTATAATTTTATAATAATAAAAGATACTATACAACATTCACTTATAATAATTTAAGTTCTTGATATAATATAACAGAAAAATGTTTTATTAAATCTATTGTTTTCTTTTAATCACTCTATTATAAAGTATAAAGAATCATTTTAGATGCTTACCTTAACAAAATCATTTTAGTTCATTAAATAAAAAATTTGTTTAAATATAATGACAATAGTTCATTAAATATAATGACAAGAACTAAAATGATTCTTATAACAATGTAAGGTTTTGGTATAATATAATGACAATAGTTCATTAAATAAAAAATTAAAATAATATTTATTATTTATATTACATTGTTATAATATTTTGTTATAAACTACAAATAATTAAAATTTGTGTTTTTAAATAAATTTATTAATAACCAATTAATTATTTTATTATTATATATTAGCATGAATTTATAACACGTGACGTGATACATATTTTTATGTAAAAGGATAGTTACTTAGACAATTAAAAAATATTTTTTTAATGTTATATATAATTTTAAGAATTAAACATCATATACTTCTATTAGTTTTAATAAAAATATCAATAAAACTTAAACTTTATTTTTATAATAATTTATATTATTTTTATAAATAAAATTAATTGTAACAATTTGTGTATGGCCCGAGAAAGAAAACTAGTTAATATGTAAAATGAACAATAACAATTAATGTGATTATAATAAGACATTTGATTAAAAAAATCTAGAGTAAAAGACCAAAAATTGTATGATAACTCCACATAAAATTTTTCAAATAATATTTCCTTTTTGTTAGTACATCATTTGATCGAAAATTGCAAATATGTTCATCTAAAAATGACTAATATGAACGATGGAAGATTAGAGGACATGCAAACAATATTTGAGAGAAAAAAGAGAAGGGAGAAGAGAGAGCTTTACACTAGTTTGCTGAGACCACTTTTAGCCACAAAATTTTTCTTTGTTCCTAATCCTAACAAACTTACAAGCCTTGCGACTTTTTATGTCTGTCAACTTGAAAAGGATCAAATTCAGCAACCTTGTCAACCAGCTAAAAAGGTATTTTTTGGGGCAATAACTTCTTCAACCGATAGTTAGGGTTTCTTTTTAGATTTTTCCTATATAGAAACCTAGTCAGTTTTACATACCCATTCTTCCTTTTTGGAAAACAATGATGACTTAGCAATAGTCATTAGTTAGTAAAAATTATTTAGACGGATACTAGAAAGGAAAAATGCTTTGTAGGTTTGCAGAAGCTTTGGTAGGATCAGCAGTAATCAAACTAGGAAAGCCTGTGTGTTCCATGTGTATCAATATGAGTATTAGTTACGAAACATATAAAGTAAAATATTATTATATTAAAATTAAATTTTTTATAATAATATAATGAAATATTAATCAAATAATAATTCCTTAAAAATAAAATACAAATGTCAAAAAATAAGGAAATTTTCCTCTTAAAAATTTATCTAAGTACAAGAAAACAACTTAATACTCCTACCGGTCCTTTTTATTAAAAATAAAATAAAATATTTTTTGTTCTTATTATAAGAAAAAAATTATAAATTTAAAATATATTAATTATTAAATTTATTTTATCGGGTTTTTAATCTGTGCAACCTTACATAAGATAAACTTCAATAAATATACTACTTAACCAATAAGGAGAGTAAAAAATAATTTTTTTGAAAAAAACATGATAAAACATACAAATTAGTTAAGTGGTACATTTATTTAATATTATTAAATATACAAATTAAAATAAAATAAAATATTTATAATTTAATAAAATATTAATCAAATAACAATTCCTTAAAAATAAAATACAAATTTCAAGAAGTAAGGAAATTCTCCTCTAAAAAAATTATCAAGTACAAGAAAACATCTTAATAATAACTAAGGTAAACTATCTTAAAGAACCTTGCTAAAGTCAAAGCAACTAATATACCTCTATATTAAATATGAGTTCTCATCCTTAAACGAGCATATTAAGTATTCCAAACCTATGTTTTTAGGAGTTATTCTCTTTTCCATTATATCATGTGTTTTCTCCCACAATCAACCTTTATTTTGTATTCAATTTATTTCTCAATTTAGAAAATTCTTTTATATTTTGTATTATTTAATATAATAAAACATTTATTATTAATAATAAAAATACTTACTCTCTTTTAAGTTTATAAAATTTATTAAATTTAAAAAGTCATATAACATTTTTTAAAATTTAATAATATACGCATTGTACAAAATATTCTGTAGTTTTGTACTGATTGCTGCTATCATCGTTTACTTTTCTTTCCAAAATTTGTTTAATCAAATGAAATAAAAAGTTATAAATAATAAGTTTTGATAGAAAATTATAAAATTAAAATTCTGCAGTTTTTAAATCCTTTGAAGTATTACAGAAAATTATTCAAATGAGGTATAGTATACGTGTAAGTGCATGCGATTAACATTTGTATGGAACCATTCATAATGGGGCATTCTAGCTATAATCTATCTATGATTGTATATGATACTCTTAATTGCATTTTTAATTAGAAAGCGACAATGCTGATAGCATTGGATCTTATAATAAATGCGCCGTATGGGGGCAAGCTGGCATTGAAAACATTTCCCTAAGCACACGTTCTATTTATTTCTACACTTTCTGGACTCACAACTTTGACCAATTCATAATATAAAATTCTCACATCATTACTCAGAACCTGGACTCGTGTTCAAATACATTATATATTTGGCGAAACAATTGAATTTAGAGAAAGGTAATTTTATTACTTGATTAATGCATAATATAAAATTTCCAGAGCATGCATTGCATGCTAGTAGAGAAATCAAATGCTTTCAGAGTGTTACGGCCAATAATTCATAATCAAATTTCAAATTGTTGATTGCAAACAGATAATTGAAAACATCAATTAGCCGGAGAATTGGAATTGCCTATCTCCTGAATGTTGTGTATTGGAACACATTCAAGGACAAACCTATTGCAAATTTTGACATGGCTTCCCTTAGGAAAGTCCCAACAGAAAATGGATGGTTGAGTATGCTTAATGCCGGTAACATGCTTGGGTGATAGGAGTTGGTGGGTCAGTGAAAGTGCCATTGAGTATCCGATCAGCAACCCAATGGTTAGCAGCCTCAGCATAATGAACACCATCCCAACTTACATACATTGAAGGCTTTTCACAAGATGCACCAAACACGTCTTTTCCATTTGCACTCCCTAAATTCCCACACCATATATGAGTATCATTTTCATTCACATGGTACCCACAACAGATCTTCATTGGATCCACAAATCCTGAGAATAAATAATAGTTGATGAGCATGTTAAACTATAATGATTTGTCACAGTAAAAATCACTGCCAATGTTCCTTTTATCATTACATTCAAATCTATATTAGCCAATCTTAAGAAACAGCCAAAATTTTAAGGGGGGCACAAAAATCACATTTGTTTATTGCTAGCATGTTTATGATGTTAGCAAACATCTTTCTTAAAATCATATGAAAAACTGAGCATAGTTAAAGTTGAAAGACACCTACTAGTAGACTAACTGAATCATATGAATAATAAACAGATTACCTTCATTTTTGGTATTGCTGATTAGTCCGTACTTTGCTGCATACACATCCACATAAGTAATTGCAGCCTCTGGGAGCTCAGTCCTCAGTTTGATGACTCGATCCTTAAGCTGCTTGTTGAATTGCACAGCCATCACATTTTGATCCTTGACACATCCATACTCATCAAGATACCCAGCTGGTATATTATGCTTGTAAAATAGTTGCACTGGCAAGCACCCAATGGGGCCAGTGTTGTGTATCCAGAATGTTCTCCCTCCTCCTTGGTATATGTTCTGCAAGCATTTTATTAATCACATTTTAGACCCTTTCCAATTAGTCAACAATGACCTTGTCAATGACACAATCTTTTCAGTGTTTCAAATACTCAATCGCTAGTTCTCAATGAGTGATTACTTTGCAAGCGTGCTAATTACCTTGACTGCAGAGGCTAACTGATTCACAATATCTGGCATGGATTCACGCATTTGGTCAAAGTTCATCTTTCTAAACCCAACAGAGAGGTCATTTTGACCAATATCAAATGTGTATAGAGCCTTAGCGAACTCCTCAGGTACAGGAAGCTTGCTTCTTTCATGTGGGGTTTTGGCTAAAGTTTCAAGAAACAAAGACCAACAACACAAACAAGTGAGAATTTTAAAGAAATGGCAAGGTTCCAGATTGTTGAGCTATAATAGTACTATTGGCATTATTACCATCTTGGTAGAGTTGTTTGGTGCGTGCTTTGAATTGGTTAAATTGCACAATCTGTATGTCAAGTGAGAAAGGACTTATCCCGTATTGGAATATGGTTTCATTCTGCCTCCTAATAGTGGATCCTCCTGTGGCAAAATTTGCCCCATGCCGGTAATCGGTTCCAAGTGAATTCAGATAAGCACTTAAGTATGGCAAATTTAGCTTCTCAGCTGCATGATTGAGCATAAATAGCAAAGTTAAAATTATAAGCACTTTCCAGTTTACACACACACACATTACACACCTTAAAAAAGGAGAAAGTAAAGGTGGAAATGAAGGGGGAGAGAGAGATAAGGGTGTTTCAATGCTCATTTACCTGTGAAATCTACTATGAGACGGCCATCACTGTCCCTTCCTGAAGGTTTATGAAAGAAGCCCTCACCATATGGCGCAGGAATTGGCACAAATGAAGCTGATATGCCTCCAGTGTCAGAGTTGGAGTCACCAAAGTTGTAAATTGCAGGAAAAGCACAAGGGGGTGAGTCTTTAAGCTCCACACCCTTCACACAAACAACAACACAAGAAAGCAAGAACCCAACAAAGAGCACTCCCAACCCCATTTTTACAGATGAGCACTTCTGGCTAAGGTGAGAATGTGAGCAAGCTTATTATATACAGAGAGAGCCAAAAGCACACAGTTCAAAGACACCCCAAATCCTGATCTTTGGGTAAATCTCTTGTGTCATGGAGCAGATATTTTCTGACCCATTGTTTGTGCTTACAGTTGTCATTCATACCTATGTTGTAATCTGATACAGCTACACAAGTTTAGAAGCCCATTCATCATCGTCACATGAAGAACATACTTTTCTAAAATCAAGATAAATGTTAGTTTTATATAATATTTTAATTAGCATACATTTGCTTTAATCGATACAGAATATAATATTATATTGAAAATCTAATGTGAAAATAATTTCGTAATATCATTCTAATTCACAATTTATGTCATCTGAAGTTTTATGAACGGATATTTAAAATTTAAAGAATAGCACCGCTCAAAAAAAAAATGGAGAATTAATGTGTATAGGTATCGGCAATAATAATGGAAATTAAGGTGTTAATGGGGTAAATGCAGTGACTTAACACGTGACATGTTTAATTGACGGAAGGACATTGGACCCCAAGAAGTAATCAAGAATCTTCAAATAAGTCGGTCATTATTTTCACTTTACGAGCTCTCTTTTGAGATTGCAAAGATTTTTCTTTTTAAATTTTATATTTGATAACTGATATGGTCCACGCTGTGTCAATATATACATATAATGGATTTTTTTAAAAACTTTTACCTAACACATTAATATTGAGTTTTTTATTTTATTTTATAAACTTTTATGTTTAACTTTATAAATTTTAACATTTTTTTATTAAATTTTCAAACAAATACATTAAAATTTTGTTTGAATATTTTTAATATATAATATATCTATTTAGTATTATTTTTATTTTATTATATTATATTGTCATAAAAAATTTAAAATATACAAAAATAAAATATCAACCTTATTATATTATATTTTTGAGATATTTGCATATGGATAGGGGTGTGGCTTAGCTAAAAAAAAGTGTGAAACTTTCACTTCTTTGTTCAGAAAATCTTAAGTAAAATGTTTAAAAATATCAACGTTTCAAGAAAAATTATTTTATGGCTTTTTTCTAAGAATTAAGGTAAGAAATTCTAGAAGAAACAAAAATACAAAAAAAAAAGAGGTGGAGAGGAGGATGTTGAATTGTGTGTTTAAGTCTGTAAACAAGTTTAATAATTTTTTTTAAAAAAAACTTATTAAGTATTAACGTGAGAGAATAAATAAAAAGAGACAAATTAATTTATTTTATTTTATTCTTAACAATAAAGAGCCACCAAGACTTATGTTTAATGAATAATTTTTTACTATGTAGAAAAGATAAATACAATTACAATAAATTTTTTCAAGTATTTGCTTTTACTTAAAGTTTTTTTAGATTTTTTTAATTATCAAATGCTTTCTTGAAAGGAAATAATATTAATTAAAACAATTTTTTAAAAAAAATATTTATGTTATGATTAAAATTTTAAGAAATATTTCTCAAATAATGTTAGTCCTAACCTTCTTTTTCTTTTGACTATGATAAACATTTATATATAAATGTGTAAAATATTGTGTATATATACATAAACTAACGTTCAATATAATTATGAAAAAATTGAAATACAAAATCTCAAATGCGTGCAATGTTATGCTCAACTTAATGTTGAAGAAGAGTAAGTTTTAGAAGAGTGAGTTTCAGGTTCTCCTATTAAGTATATTTGATCTTTTGAAGTAATTGATTGGTTATTATGTAAAAAGCATATTGCTTATGCAAATAATTTTCAAGGTGGTGTTAAATTTTGAATTTGAGTATATATACCAAGAATTTAGATTGAGACAAATGTAAGGAGCATGTCAAGATGATCAACATGCATTTTTTAGGTACTTTAATGTTAGTAAAGGGAAAAGAGTAACAAAAAGTTTGTTTATAGAAAAATAAAGAAATATAAATGAGAAAAACCTTGATGAAGAAACTAAAACAAAAGGAGGAGTTTACGAATAAATGTAGAGATTTTGAAAAAAAAACTTCTTTGAGATGAAAGAATGTAAAAGATTAAAAAAAATAGCTGAGATAAAGAAAATTGACTTTAAAGAAAAGAGAAGGAGGACGAGGTGTTGTAGAAAACAAGAAAGAATTTTTGAATAACACAAAAAGGCATTAATCATATTCCTTTTATGAGGCTTGTTTTTCTTTAATGTTTTTTGTTTTCTAGCTTTATTCAGTCTTGAAGATGGGTATTCAGCTTCATCGACTCACCCAAAGTAATTATTGCACAACTAGAAGGATTGAATTACAATGAGTCCTTTCTTTTAGAGGAAAAAAAATATTTTTGTTCATTTGTCATGACACTTGATAGTAATCATCTTGTGAAGGAGTATGTCTTCTTTTGTTTATCCTTTCCTTAGTCAACAAATGGAATGTGAGGAGCATTGCTATCTAGTTGTAATTGGAACACGTGTGAATGAAGTTAAAATGAAAATAAGACTATACATGTTACCTCAAAGACTTTGCGTACTTGTAGGATTAAATAAATTGATGTGTAACAATTCAAAGAAGTAATGAAAATAATATTTTGAATTTAAAAGAAGTTTTCACTTTTTGTTTCTTTGACATGTTTCATACAACAAATCCTTTTAAAAAGAGATTTTTAAAAAATTCTTAGCAAAATTAAACTTGTGAAGTTTTGATATATGTTTCATGATTACATTTCTAAGATTAACATCCTTTTTTATTTTTATCATTATTAACAGCAAACATGTTACACATTCATCATTTAGTTTTTCCAAATTATAATTTGAGTATGGATCTGATCCAAGAGTGTAGCAAAACATGAGCTTAAACTTAATTGATATATTTTTCTAAAAATATCTTAACAATTTAAACTCATAACCTTCTTAGTTATATACTATTTAATTTGTTGCTAATCAACTAATTGAGATATTATTATCTAACAATATGAGATTATAATAAATAAAACTATAAAATTACATATAAATATAATTAATAATTTTGAATCACACACATGCATTGTGTATAATCATTTACAATCTATTAATATAAAATTCATAAAATTTGAATTTAAACTATATTTTAATTTTTTATTTTGTTAACTGAACAAAATTATATTTATTAATGGTTTTGTATAAGAAAAAGTGTCTACAAAAAATAATATTAAATAATTATTTTTAAATTGGTTACATACATAATTGACTTTCTAAATTGATTATCAAATTGATGTAAAAAGATTTTACATTTTATGCTAATTATTTTTACATCGATTTTAGAATTAATTTAGAATGTCTTATAATAGTAAAATATTTAATAATTTTAATTCAAATAATTTATGATTAATGAAACTCTTTTTCCTACCTCAATTTATGGTATCAAAATATTTAGTTTATTTTAAAGTTTTATTTTAGACTATCCTTCATTGCCAAGAACTAATCCCTTTTATCAAAAGATTCATTAGCAAGACATATTGTCATAGAATATATATTTTCTGAAGTATCTTATTATTTAGAATGAGCTTTATTCTCAACCTTTTGTCATTCTTTAAGTTTAACTCAAATTACTGTATGTTTATATAGGTTCTTACCAACTATGACATAGTTACTACTATTGTCAATCACTCTGCTTGGACAATGTTTTCCTATCCAATCTCATCTACAAAAGAATTTAATAGCTCAAACAATTTTTTCCTAGTTTTCACAAGTAAAGAAATATCGACACTTTTTACATTGTGTCACTTGAGTAATTTACCAAGAAATTAATTAATATCCTATTCTTCCTATTTGTCCATCTGAGTGACATAATAGAACAACCAAAGTTTATTTGTTCTACCTCCAAAGGTTTCATCAACTCCTTTGTCAGTTTCAACTTCTTTTTCAACAAAGGAGTTCTCATTTCATAATAGCTTGGTGGCTTTAGATGTAGACCATAATTTCTAATTGCTTCAACCATAAACTTGAATCTTTTAGACCTCACAACATTAATTGAGATTGAATTTCTATAGAAGAATTTTACAATGTAATGACTTGAGACAAGGAAATATCGCAATCAACTCAGTCCTTGGTTTAGAAATGTTAAAGTAAATCTTGCTTGAGTTAGGTGATACCATTATGATCATTGCCTATGATAACAATGTCATCTACATAGACAACAAGATAATGCACTAATTAGGAGAAGAGTGTTTATAAAACAAAGAATGATCTACCTCACTATAAGTCATTTCAAACTATTGAAAAACTTATCTAAATCTGCCAAACCATGTTTGAAGACTTTGCTTAAGGCCATATAAAGCCTTACCTAACTTGCAAACAAATTCTTGAAGCAACAAAATCAAGAGGTTGCTTTGTATAAATCTCTGCTGCTAGATCACCACATTTTTTTATATCTAGTTGATAGAGGGGCCAACAACGTATAGCAACCATGGATAAGAAGAGGCGCACTAAGGTCATCTTTGCAACAGGTGAAAAGGTGTCACCATAATCAAGCCCAAAAATTTGTGTGCATCCTTTAGCTACCAATCAGGCTTTTAGTCAATCAATCTATCTATTTGGGGTTCACCTTGATAGCAAACACCCAACGATAGCCAACTATAGATTTTCCAAGAGGAGAGGGAACAAGTATCCAAGTTTGGTTAGATTTTAAGGCCTGCATCTTGTCAATTGTAGTTTGTTGCCACCTTGGATGGAAAAGTTTCTTCTAGACTGTTGTAGAAATAGTAACAAGGAAATGACATACATAAAGACATAATGGGAAGAGGACAAATGATGATAACTCAAGAAATTATAGATAAGATAAGGATATTGAGTTGAATGTGTACCTTTTCAAAGGCTATTGGCAAATCAACATGTGTCTTAAATGGATTTAGAGTAAGCATAGCAATTGACACTGGAGATGAATTGTCTAAATCTTCGACAACTACTTCCTCTAATGAAGCAAGACGAGATCAACACTAGAAGTTTGTAAAAGGACAAGGAATAGTAGAAGTCTCTAGCACATTAGAGATTGAAGGGCTAGTGACAAGAGGAATATAGTAAGGAATAGGAAGAATCTAGGAAACTAATATAGATGAGATAAGGATTTTGAATTAAAAGTGCACCTTTTTGAAGGGTTATTGGAAAATAAGTAGGTGTCTCAGATGGATTT